AAAGCAAGAAGCAAAGAAGGCATTCTGGTCGAATTAATATGTTGGATTAGATTAATAAATCCCCTTGTTCCATCTGGTAACTGTCTGCCTTTTACAAAACCCACCTGATCATTATGAACTATCAAAGGAATTAAATTAGCTAACCTATTTGCAAGAACTTTGGAATACATTTTTGAGTCATTATTTATCAGAGATATAGGTTTAAAGTTAGGTTATCTTTCATGAATTTTTCCTGGCTTTGGCAAGGCGACTATTTGTGCTCACAAGCAGGGCCGGACTGGGAGAAAAATTCGGCCCGGGCATTTTTTTAACACAGCGGCCCACTAAAAAGGGGGCGGGGCATAGGAGGTGTGTTTTGTCATCACCAATGACAAACACGCCTCCTCTCAAAGTGAGCATGTTGGTTCAATGCTCTTCCAGGGCAGACCATGCGCAGAGCTCTGCTGAAGAGCTCTAGCATGGGAAAAAAGTCCTGTATTTGTTCTGCACAGTGCAAGCAAATTTAATAACATGCTTGCACTGTCTTTCCTTGCAACTTGTCTCTGGTGTCTCTATAAATGGATACCAGGAGACAAAAGGCCAGGAAAGATTATTGTGCATGTGTTTGGAGCCTGCTTGTGGTATTGCGTGTGTGTAGAGTGAGCTGGTCGTGGTGTGGTATTGTGTAATAAGGTCGGTTTTAGTCGTGTTGTGTTTGTGCTGTAATGTGATGCATATGTGGCTCAGGGACCCCCTCCCGTCTGGCTCTGGAAAGGGGTTAAAACTTACCTTTTTCCAGCGCCGGGCGGGAGCTCTCCTCCTCCGATCCGCCCCGTCGGCTGAATGCGCACGCGCAGCAAGAGCTGCGCTCGCATAGGAAAGCATTTATAATGCTTTCCTATGGACGCTTGCGTGCAAAGCACGCAAGCGCCTCTAGCGGCGGTCAATGAGACAGCTGCTAGAGGCTTTGGGGGAAGGCTTAACCCATTGATAAACATAGCAGTTTCTCTGAAACTGCTATGTTTATAAAACAATGGGTTAACCCTAGAAGGACCTAGCACCAAGACCACTTCATTAAGCTGAAGTGTTCTGGGTGGCTAGAGTGGTCCTTTAAGAGTGTTTTGTGTGTGTGTGTGTATATATACATATACACACACACACACACACACACACATATATATATATATGGAAGTATTGTGTATGTGTGTGGTGCAGTGTGTTGGGGGGGTTCTGTGTGTATGTGAGGGGTGCAGTATGTGTGTGTGTGGGGGTGCGGTGTGAGTGATGGGTGTGAGAGTGCCGTGTGAGAGTGCCCTGTGTGAGATGGGTGTGAGAGTGCTGTGTGAGAGAGTGCTGTGTGTGTGTGAGAGTGCTGTGAGTGTGATGGGTGTGAGAGTGCTGTGTGAGAGAATGCTGTGTGTGTGTGAGAGTGCTCTGTGAGAGTGCTGTGAAAGAGTGCTGTGAGAGTGCTGTGTGTGATGGGTGTGAGAGTGCTGTGTGAGAGAGTGCTGTGTGTGTGTGAGAGTGCTCTGTGAGAGAGTGCTGTGTGTGTGAAAGTGGTGTGAGGTTGATGGGTGTGAGAGTGCTGTGTGAGAGAGTGCTCTGTGAGAGAGTGCTGTGTGTTAAAGTGCTGTGTGAAAGTGCTGTGTGAGAGAGTGCTGTGTGTGTGTGAGAGTGCTCTGTGAGAGAGTGCTGTGTGTGAAAGTGCTGTGTGAGAGAGTGCTGTGAGTGTGTGAGAGTGCTCTGTGAGAGTGCTGTGTGTGATGGGTGTGAGAGTGCTGTGTGAGAGAGTGCTGTGTGTGTGTGAGAGTGCTCTGTGAGAGAGTGCTGTGTGTGTGAAAGTGGTGTGAGTGTGATGGGTGTGAGAGTGCTCTGTGAGAGAGTGCTGTGTGTGTGAAAGTGGTGTGAGTGTGATGGGTGTGAAAGTGCTGTGTGAGAGAGTGCTGTGAGTGTGATGGGTGTGAGAGTGCTGTGTGTGATGGGTGTGAGAGTGCTGTATAAATGTTATTGTGTGTGTAGGGGGGGTAAATAAAAAAATAAAATAAAAAAAACAGGCATTATGTCCCCCCTCCCTTCTTACCTTTAGCCTGGGAGGGGGGGTCCGGCACGCTGGCAGGCAGGGTGGCGGTGTTCCCTGGTGGTCCTCGTGGGTGAGTGAACTCTAGCCTGTGAGGCTAGAGTTCACTCTCGCGAGATCCGGTTGTTGCCATGGCAACGCGCCAGATCTCGCGAGAGGAACCCGGCGGAGCTGCAAGTTAGAGCTCCGCCGGGTCCTCTCTCCAGCCTAGCTGGCTGTCTCCCTCCCTCTCTCCCCGTCGGCGGCCGCATGTGGGCCGGTCAGGGAGATCCTTGATCTCCCCACCGGCCCGTCGTGGCACAAAGCGGGGCCGGCGCTGGGAGAGTGCCGGCCCTGCATAGACCGGCAGGGGAGATCCTGGGACCTCCCCTGCCGGCCTCGACCCATGGCCACCGCGGCCCACCGGGCATTTGCCCGGTGTGCCCGATGGCCAGTCCGGGCCTGCTCACAAGGACTCCTCCGGCATCTTTCCCTTGGTCTTACTAGTGTTGAATAATTTTACCACGTGGGGAATACAAATTTCTGGAAAAGTTTTAAAGTATAATATGGTAAATCCATCACGACCAGGGGCCTTTCCAGATGGCATAAGCTTAATTGCCTCAGTTATCTCTTCAGCTGAGATATCACACTCTAAACTTTTCAAATTGTCTGGAGACAACCGAGGCAATTTCACTCGATCTAAGAATTTGTCGATTGTTACCTTAGAGAGTTGGGAAAGTTCCAAATTTAGTCCTAGATTATAAAGTTTCCTGTAATATTCTGCAAATAGACCACTAATTATAGTAGGGTGGAATACTTTTTGCCCCTGATCGTTTATTAAATATGCTATTTTTGACTGGGCATTCACACACCGGTGTTTAAATGCCAGAAGAGTTGAGGCCCTATTTCCTTTTAGAGAAAATGTTTTCTTCAGGCGTCTCACCATGAGGGATGTACGATCTAAATTAATTTTGTGAATTTTTGCTTTGATTTCTCCTATAATTTTTGACAGGGAAGCCGATGGACCGAATTTATTTGCCTGATTGAAATTGTACAGTTCTTTCTCCAATGTTCTTAGATTGTTATTATTGATCCTCTTCAAGTGAGATGCCCTAGAAATAAAATGACCTCGTAACAGCCTTATTCGCATTCCAAGCCACTTTTCTAGGAACCTCAGATGGTACATTATCCAAGAAATAATCACTCAAAACCCTCTCTTGTCAATGACCTATTTTCGGCATCATTTATAAAATAATCACCTAGTCTCCAAGTTCTATCTGGGGCTGAAGATATAGTTTTGTCTATATGCATTATGATAGGAGCATGGTCAGACCAATTAATATCCAAGATATCAGATTTCAAGATGCGCGGGATTGAAGCACTCTGAACCATAAACCTGTCCAACCTAAAATACATGTTTTTTGAAACAGAAAAATAAGTAAAATATCTTTCACCTTCATGCATAAGCCTCCAAGGATCATACCATCCACATTCAACCATGTATTAAGAATATTTATCCGCCAGTCTATCACTATCTCTCCTATGGGATTGATCAGGGTCTTCTCTAGCATGATCCAGTTCTCCATCCATGAAAAAATTCGTATCGCCACACATCACCAAAATATCTCCCAAATTTTCAGTCACCAGATCCAAAAACCTAACTGTGTTTGGAAAATATATATTCATAATTGTGTACTCAACATTATTGATTTTACCTATCCACAACAAATACCATGTCCGTAAAACATGCCGTAAAAAATACCATGTCCGTAAAACATGCCACATTCCTGTTAACAAGATTGATGTACCTCTAGATTTAGATTTGTAAACAGTATGAAATTGGGTTGGGAAAAGTTTTGACATAAGCTTGTATTCTCTACCATCTTTAAAGTGTGTTTCCTGAACACATATGACATCAGACTTGCAAGACTTAGCTTCTTTAAAAAGTAATCTCTTATGCATGGTGTTCAGGCCTCTCACATTAAATGACAAAAATTTTAAAACCATGTTTTATATTATGAACCTTAAATATGAAAGAGAAAAAACTCATAGCAATGTGAGAGTCCCAAGTACTGCGCTCCAAAAATCTTATAAGCAAGTCCTGCAATACTGCTAATAACTAATTATGCTTCTTACATATGTGTTCAGAAAAAATATGTGTCCAAGCTTGTCTTAATGGCAAAGAACAAACTAAACCGTTCTTGTCAAATATTATAAAAATTGTTACATTAAATTTTGATGCATGAGATTTTTTGTATGTCCCAGATGAATGGATGAACATAAAAATAAAAAATAAAAAAGGGAATAAAAAACCTGGATATACACCCCTATGAAGGGAGAAAAAAAAAATTTGCAAAAAAAGGGCCATGAGGGAGAATAAAAATTTTTTCTCCATCTCAGGGTGTTAGGCCCAGATTGTGGGAAGAGAAGCTAACTGGGGACAAAGGGAACTGTTTAACCCAGAACTTTATTTGACTATGCAAGTCTATAAAAGTATAATCATAAACCAATATATAAATAAAATAATCAATTTTAAGTAAAAGACTTGCATAGTCAAATAAAGTTCTCAGTTAAACAGGCTTCCAATAGACAAAGTCATCTGGACCAAGAAATTAATCAAACTTGAGGAAATCCTTCAAGCGGCACAGGAACAGGCACACTGAAGAATGAAACACCACCATCTAGACAATGTTAAATTAAGATCTCGAAGGCTGTGTCGGTCACTGCGGTGCATCAGGCTTGCTTCTCTTGTTGGGATGCTTAGGAGTCAAAGGTGAAAGTGTGTGAGCTGATAACAACTGGCGTCTGCTATAGGAGTCAAGAAATTCAATACCCTCCTCTTGTGATGCGACAACAAAGTTCTGACCATCCATGCGAAAGAGAACCTTTACAGGGAACCCCCATCTGTATCTGATTCCTCTGCAATGCAGTTCTAATGTAAAGGGTTGAAATTCTCTGCGTCGCCTCATGGTGTGTGCAGACAAGTTCTGAAAATCTTCATATTTTTGTAGTCATCAGGTAATCCAGATGTGTGAACTGCGCCCAAGAATTCCTCCTTTTTGTGATAGTAATGGAAACATACTATCACATCTTTAGGTGCAGCTGCCAGCGCGCTGTTAGGTTTTGTCAACCTGTGTATGTGGTCCAGAATTAAGTCCGAGTTGGTAACAGATGGCTTAACTGCCCTTACCATGTCCTGAAAGTAATTAGGTAATTCCGCCATGCCGATGTTATCAGGGATCCCCCTGATACGCAACTTATTACGGCTGCTCCTGTCTTCCGCGTCAGCTGATTTTTCTGCTTACACAAAGATAAAGCACCACGCTTACAGCAGTAGTAGCTTAGTATCCAACAGCTTAAAATACAAAGTAAAAAGAAAAGAGAATGTTACCTGTGCTCTGGCCTAAATCCCCATGTACATTTAAACAAAATGGAGGCTCTTTAGTTTTATTCCAGTTTTATGGCCATTTGAATATATAAACTCACCTGCCACGTCAAGGCAAGCCTCAATAGGTGAGTTCCTACACTAGCCATTAGATATGCTGATATCAGTCAAGAATATCCAGTAAGACACGAAGGGGTATTTTATAAACCCTTTCACATTTAACCCTTTATAGGGCTTCTACACATACAATATGTGTGTTATGGCCCTATTCAGGGTTAAGTATGTAGGGGTTTATAAAACACCCCTTCATGTCTCATTAGAGATGTTTACACTTTGTCTGATACCAGCAAAGTTTATTGTATGTGTAGAAGCCCTATAAAGTGTTAAATGTGAAAGGGTTTATAAAATACCCCTTCCTGTCTTACTGGAGATTCTTGGCTGATATCAGCATATCAAATGGCTAGTGTAGGAACTCACCTATTGAGGCTTGCCTTGACGTGGCAGGTGAGCTTATATATTCAAATGGCCATTGGAATAAAACTAAAGAGCCTCCATTTTGTTTAAATGTACATGGGGATTTAGGCCAGAGCACAGGTAACGTTCTCTTTGATTTTTCTGCTTGATGGTTCACCTGTCTTTGAAGATCATTTACCTTATCCAATAATTCCAGATGAGATTGTTCTTGGGAGGTCATTCGGTTTTCCAAATCTTCCATGCGTAATTTATGTCTGTCATGAAACCATAAATTGTTTCAAAATCCTTTTTAAAATCATTCCTAAGTTCCACCCTTAGGTTCTTAATAAGATTTATCAACATGTCAGCTGATGCAGGGAAACCTGTAGTCTTTTCAGATGGCATATCAGGATTATAAGCAGTTGTCACTGTAAAAGGATTAGTGTCTATAACATTAGTAGTCATCTTGGAGGTGGTAGCAGCCATCTTGGTTGGGGCAGTAGCATCTTGTGTAAACGTGGTGGCCATCTTGGTTATGGCAATCTGTCATATTCTCTGTTGTAATGGAGTGTACAATAATATATCGGGATTATCCTCCATTTCAAGTTCTTTCGGACTCTCTGCAGCCCTTTCTGTGTCTGAAATGTTAAGGGTTTTGGTGACAGAGGACCCCCCCCCCCCGCCATGTCCGATCGCCGTGAGGCCGAGGACCACAACGGGGAGCGGGACCTCCCTCTGCCTGCCCCCTCATCTTCAGCCCGGTCTCCTTTATATATTAGGGACCGGGCTGTTTTAGTGAGAAGCAGCGAGCGGGTTGTTTTGGACCACGTGCCACTCACGGGAGATGTCTCAACTCACTCCAAGCGCGATCCTGCTGCTTACAGGAAGCTGCGAGCGGGTCGCGACCACATTCGCATATGAGCAAGTGTCTGAGAAGGTATGGGAGGGCGAAATAAGCTGTGATGCCGCAATGTGAGAGGGGGAGTTAGCCTGTAGGCCCTTGCTCACCCCCCAGCAGGCTTGTCGATTTTCTTAGGTGCAGGAGCAGATTTCTCAGGTTTTTTTTTGCCTCTACATAATGAGTAAGTCTTCTTAAAGAGATTTCAGTAAATTATTTAAATTAATTACAATTATAAATTGTATTTTTGGAACTTAATTATCCCAGTATCCCAAGAGCTCCTCTAGATGGTGGCCATTCAAGATGGTGGCCAAAACACCCTCTCCCCCCAACCCCCGGTTCTCTCCTTCTAATACAGGCTGCATGGCTTCCAGCAGTCTAGCTCACTCAGTGCTATCATTGACTGAGCTGTGTATGTACAGCGATAAGGACATATTTTTTTCATTTGTTTTTGGATTGGGGGCACGGCTAAGGTGGGAAAGCATATGCTACAGGATTCTGCAAAATATTTCTATCTTTGCAAAACCTACAAAGATTTGAGCATGTAAAAAACACATTATATCAGGTGCATTAAAGTTGGATTGAGTTTCCCTTAAAAAGATAACAAAAAAGAATGTTTGCACTTTGACAGGGCTTTTCACTAATGTGGGAATTCTAAGTGAAATTCAAATTTAAGGCCAATTTAACCAAGAAAAAAAAATCTCTAAGTTAGCAATGCTTTCAGTTCAACTACTCTCTCCTTAATTCTTAAAACTCACTTTGAATTCTCTCTTTAGTAAATAACCTTGTAAATGTTAAGTAAATTGTGATACATTAATTGCTACAAACAGCAATTAAATGAATTTTAATTTGAGGATGATAATCAAGAACATGAGTAAATGCACATTGCTGCATGCTTTTACGTGACATTGTTTCAGTCTTGTTATAATAAATCGTACACAGTGGATTATCAAGGTCTTGTTAAGAAGTGTATGTGTTAATGCATTTTATATTACTTGCTAATTATAAGACCTAGTTGACTTACATACTTGTATACATATGCTTTTATTTGCATTTTGTCAAATAAGTGCTTTATCTCAAAGTAATATTTACATTGTGGTAGGAACACGTCATAGGATTGTGTCTTAATCTTTGCTCTAGTGAACCTAACATTTTGCAGCCATCTGTTTTGCAAATCATTAATTTGATATTTTAAATGATAAGTTCTATCTACACAAGATTCTCTGACATTTTTCAAATGGTTTGAAGTGCACATTTACTGATACTTTTGGTAAAGGGATTGAAAACAAATTACAAGATTAAGACTCATTTGTTTTATATAAACTGTCCAAACCGCGTTGCAACATCCTACCAAAATATATCGCAATTATTTTTAAAAAAACTAACCCGAAGGCGCACAATTGCATAAACTGGCAACACATCCAACATTTTTTAAACAGATTTTTTTCCCATTTCTTTATTAATTCAATTTTAAGTGGATGTGCACCAGTCTCTTGACTAACAGTGGAAGGTTTTACTGTGCAACACAGGTCATATGAATAGAAAGAACCCATTAGTTAGATGGGCACACGAAATTCAATTTCTGATGTCAGAAACTGAAAATTAACTGAAAATCAAGTTATATTGGTAGGTTTTGCATGTTCGCATTGGGTAGTTTGTGATTGTCATTCGTGGAGTCTGTTCCCAACATGGTCTGTTTTTCTTCTTACTTTCACAAGTTTCACTGTATCAGTTCTAAGTATGATAGAACACTGACATATTTTTCATAGGCCCAAAGGCAATAAGAGCACAACATGGAGTATTTTGAAAAGAGTAAAGTATGTGATGAATTAGAACAAGTAAAATGAAATTTGCCACATTAGCTGATTTTAAACATTTATATCATAAACACCTTGTCATTGTTATAGAATTCAGAGCAATAGGCTATATCAGTATTATGAGACTAGAGTGATAACTAGATAATTAACAGATATAGTGAAGCCCCAAGAACGTCCTGGTGAAGAGGTCACCTACTGGTTAATAGGTCATATTTAAAATTTTTGGCGAGGGGTAGGACTTATGACACAGATGATGAAATGTAACTCTTTGCCTACAAATATGTACAGAATTTACATTAGCCAGCGTGAAACTCTTGTACCAAATTGGCTAATGACGCACCAATGACACTGCGTTAAACCTCGGGCAGCAAAGAGTTAAACTCCACACGTTTAGCGTTTCATAACAAAATGTTGCACATAGAGTCTTTAAGCACCATGACCTTTCCTAATGAGTTTGTAGGGTTTTATAAAAATAAAAAACTCACTACCGTTAAACAAAGGCAACTAACATTTTAGTGGATAGTGGTAGGGACTGTCTTGGACAAAAAATTGTAAAAATAAAGAAGATGCTTAGGGCCAGATTTGCATGGCAGGCACGGTAAGACACATAATTCTATGGTTAGCCATCCCCCCTGCCCCTCAAAAAAATTAAATTAATTTATTATTAACTGGGCATTGCAGGCATGGAAATGTCTAGAAAACATACATTTATATCTGATAACTGACAACTGACTATGCATGTAAGTGAGTTTGGAAATCTCTACCAATTTATATGAATAGATTTGTAGATAACATTGAGATTTACTGGATTTAATGGGTTTCGTAAAGGCATTTGCTTCCAAGTAAGTTGAAATTACAAAATAATAAAATCAAATACATTCAAAATACAGAAAAGTAAAAAGTCCTCTAATTCTTTTACTTGGAAATAAATAAATTCCTTATAAAACCCATTTATCCTTATCTCCACATTGTATCCTGATTTCAGAGAGGGTGGTGTCACCCTGCAAACAGACACAAAATCTTCATACTTTGAGACAGTTATTAAAAGGCTCTAAATAAGATGAGCACTTGCTTTACCCAATCGGGATATTTATACATCTAAATCCTAAATACTACACTCAGAAAACCTCATTGCATGTGTTTTTCTGTTTTTATTCCCCAATATATGATCATGTGTGAGACATAAAGGATTCAACAACACAAGAGGGTTACCGTTGCCACCTTAAAGGCACAAAGGCCAAAGTGTTTAGAGCCTATATCTATAGAAAAGGCTCTGAAAAATGTTTGTTTTTCACTTACTAAAACTATCACTTCACATTGCTATACAGTATTACACTATTTTGTGTACTTTCTTCTTTATTCATTTTTATGTACAACCCTAATCCATATTGAGAGGTAAGTGTGCGTTTTCGTTTTTTACAATGCATACACAGCGCTACACTCTAACCAAATGTTTTGAAAGATGGATACACCATTTAAACACTTGGTTTATTGTTTTTGGGGGCTGTACTCGCACTGTAATCAATGGAAGGTCCATGATAGGGTACAGTGCTAAGAGCATCCCTTTAAATCCCGTCAATGACAGGTTTCAAAGGGTTATAAAATCAAACAAATTGAGGAAAACATTGCAAAACATCAATCCAACTCTCAAAGAATCATAGATACAGTGC